GTGAAGCTTATTAATCAAGGCAAACCCTATGCAGCCATATCAAAATTACTAAGAGTAACTAACAAAAATAGTGAAGTCGAGTAGTCCAGTGACCTTGAAGGGTCTGGAGTGGAGGGGAAACCTGTAACGGTGTATGAGCAATCCCAGGGTTGTCATGGCAATGAAGAGCCAGCGGGAGAAGGAGGCATAGTTGACCAGCTGGAAGAGGTTCCCTCTAATCAACATCACCACCACCAGAGGGTACTGTGGGCACAGGGAATCAAAAGGGGAAAACAGGGGATTTCAGGGCCGTTAAACCTGTGTGTGTCCATTTTCATTCTCACCATGTGCTCTTCAGATACTGACCAGCCAACTGTACTTCAGAGCTGGGGGTGTGCTTCTGTAAATCTGAAGAGCACATGGTGAGAATGAAAATGGGATTCCGCATTAGTGTACTAAGATGAGGGAGCACTGCTTACCAGCATCAGTACCGCTGGCAGGGGTGTCTCTCTGCGGATGTGAATCATAGAGAGCAGAGCCGGGAAGTGGCCTTCCCTGGCTCCCACAAACAGCATCCTGAGACACAGAGGAAGGTCATCAGGCTGCTCCCAATGGGAGAGAAGACCTGTGACTCAGTGCAGGTCCTGGCAGGGAAAATATCTACCTGGATACTGCAAAGAAACTCCCATTGAGGGACCCCAGGCAGGATATGGCCACCAGCATGGGGATGATGGATGCGATGCTCTGCAGAGTGCGGTGGGCAAACATCTGAAAAAGGAAACAAAGTATCACTGACCAGATCCCTAACAGCATATCGTACATCGTCATGTGACCCTAAAACCCTTCATATACGTCAAAATGTGCCCTGGTGATCTCTCATATTCAGTGGTATATTTCTATATTGTAAATATAAACATAAAGGTCTATATGATGCATTGCTTTTCAATAAAACTGAAACTATGAATAAGACAAATGCATGATTTAATTACCTATTGTGCTTAGTGAATTGGGCTGGGCCACCCCAAGGCATTAGTGAACTTAGTGGGTGCAAATTTTGACTAGGGTTGGGGTTGGACCATCCCTGCAAATGAGGTTCACAGTGACTAAGTGTGTCATTGTAGCAAAAATAAATGATGTTTTAAGTACAGCAGTACTGACCATAGCTACGGCATCCGATGCCAGTAGCTCAGCAGAGGTCATCACCGTGTAGTATGACACATTAACCAGCACATAGCACACAGTTACTGTTACCATGGAGATAACGATCGACAGTGGGATGTTTCTGACAAGACAGAAAAAGAAGAACCGGACAAAACCATGCTAGTTGTGATAGCAGGAATCATCTAACAGACAACAACACACCATTCATGTGGTTGCGTTAGTCACAAAGTGCATCTGATTCTTCCCGAAATGCTTCATTTTAGAATTAGGCTTCTTTTGGTACCTGTTGGGATTGATGACCTCTTCTGTGACACAGTTCAAATTAAACCTGTAAGGAAAAGTGAAATCAGTTTCTTCAAATGGAAAGGTTCCTTGGTTAAAACAAATCCGATGTTATGAGACCTACCATCCACCATAGGCGTAGAGTCCAGCGTAGAATGCCAGTGGGAGTTTGGTCAGTGTTAAGGTCTCAGAGTCAAAGGCATTGTCGAAGTTCTTAACTTCTCCTGCAGAGAGATGAACCACTGAAGATAAATTCCTATTTTACCAAGACAGTCATAACAGGCCCATGGTAGAATGCACTGCCCTCCATGCGCCCACTGGCATGAGTGTACCTCTGGCCAGCGCCATGATGCCAGGGACAATGATGAGGATGAGGGCGAACACTTTGATGAAGGTGAGTGTGACCTGCATGTTGGAGGCCAGTTTCACACTCCAGCAGTTAACTGCCACCACAATGGCTGGAGAGTAGAAGGAAACACCATGATGTACATAACACACATGTACCACAACATGCAAACAACCTACAAAACAGTCACAGAGAAGGCTGACAGAGTTGGCACAGAGTGCAAAGCTGTACTCACACACGGCCAGAAGACTGACCAGCTTAACCACCATCTCGGGGGTGGCACAGGGGGCAAAGAAGGGCTCTAT